AATTTGAGGAGAGAGAGAGAGAAGGTAAGAAAGCAAGCCACTAGGTCCAGGACTTGAACCATGGTCGGCCTATGGGACTCCAGCTCCTTTAACCACCACGCCACCTGCTGGCCCCATACATAACTTTTTTTAGAAAAGAAAGGGAAATGAGGAAACTTCTGGCTATGATGGATATGTCTGTCACTTTGTGATAATTTTGCAAATGTACACATACATCAAAACTTACCAAATTCAACATTCTAAGCATGAGCAGTTTATTATATCTCAATTTTTTTATTATTTTTGTTTTTTAGATTTTTATCATAGGGCACGTGCGCTCACCCGAGAGAAACAGAGAGCGAGAGAGCGAGAAAGTGAGAAAGTGAGAAATCACCCCCCGAGGAGGATGGTCACACTGTAATCCCTTCTCCACCATTCTCCTCTCGGGATTTTGGGCATGCACGCACAGGAGCCCAGTATGATTTTAAAGCCACTGGGTCCAGGACTCAAACCATGCTTGACCATGTGGCAATCTAGCACCTTAACCACCATGCCATGTGCTGGTCCCTATTATATTCCAATTAGACTCTTTAAAGCTGTTTAGAAAGGTGCGTATGAATCTCCGGGGATCTCATAAAATGCACGCTGTGACTCGTGGCCTGGGAGGCGGCCTAGATCCTGCTTTCCTAGCAGTGCTCAGGTAACGCGATAGCCGCCACTCTGCCCACACGAGTACTACTCAGACTATGAGAGGTACGTCTCTACGGCCTGGCTTTACATTATATTCCATGGGCTTTGTGTTGCAGTATAAGTAGGCTTTTTCTCTTCTGAAACACCACACGAAAGGAAATAAAAGACTTACACTGACAGGAAACCACATGCAGGAACCTTCTTCAGGATACATGAACAGCCCATATTCTGGCTTGGTCATCTCTTCGAACACACAGTGGAAGAACTCTGAACTGACCCCTCCACTCTCTGGACGAATTTCATTAATGAACCCAACCTAAGGAAAGAGAACATTTTTCCAGGTCCTAATTTAAAATACAACTCGTGCGTCTTTATGGAGAAGTTTTAAACCTCTAGCCACCATTCTGGCCACCACTAGAATGAGCAGACTCCCACACGCCTTACCTCCAGGTAATCTGTCCTTCGATTTGCTATGAGGCAGTGGAAGCCATGATCTGCCCATTCTCAGACTGCTGTTGAGTGAGCGTGTGGATCCTTCCACTGTCACACGTACTGGGGAAGGGTGACTAGCAAGGCGACATTCACCGATTATGGTGACCGTTACCCTGAAGCCAAGTTTTTTTCTTTTTCTTTTTTTGGAGAGGTTTTTGCTATAGGGCACATGTGCTCACCAGGAAGACAGACAGAGACAGAAACCGAGAAATCACCCCCCAGGAGGGAGAAATTACCTCTCCTATTGGGATCTTGGGCACACACGCACACGAGCCCAGCATGAGTTTAACCCACTAGGTCTGGGACTCGAACTGCAGTCGACTACGTGGGAGTCCAGTGACATAGCCACTACGCCAACTGCTGGTCCCTTGAACCGAAGTTTGACATGCTTCAAAGCTCTGGGCCATTCTATCCCCTGATTAGTGTAGCTCGTTGTTTAAGCTCATCTCATCATGAGACTGCATTCTCAGCTTCAGTCAACCACTATTTGGTTTCTCTTTCTCTACCCTCCTTCGGGCTTATGCTAATCAGCACTCCAGCTAGTCTGGGTTTGAGACCTTGGCAGGACTACCAATCTGTCCCCAGCTCCTGTGAGAAATCCATACTAACCAGCCCTTATTTATTTATTTAAAGGTTTTTGTCACAAGGTGCATGTGCTCGCTGGAGAGACAGAGAGAGAGGGAAAGTGAGAAATCACCCTCCCAGGGAAGATGGCCATGCCACAGTCCCTCCTGCCCCATTCTTCTGCTGGGATTTTAGACATGCGCCAAGAGTGATTTTCCAGGCACCAGGTCTAGGACTCGAACCATGGTCAACCATGTGGTAATCCAAAGCCTTAACCACCATGCTACCTGCTGGCCCCAGCCCGTCTTTTTAAAACTCTCTTTACCTTTGGACATTGTGGCTGAGTATTATTCTGGTGTTCCCCTATCCCTCTATTCCATTTCTGCTTCCTTTTCTGGTTAATTTCCTTTTATCACTGAGCTCTATTTCTTGGATTTTTGCTCTCTTTCTACTCTAATCTCTTTGCCCGGGAGATCTTATCTACTGCCACTTTGATCAACTCCTTGGCCACCGTATTCGAAGGCCTGCCTCTCATTCCCATATGGATATCCCAATAACAAATGAATCTTACTTCTGATTTTTCTTATCTCTGTTCGTTCACTCACAGTCTGCCTATGCCACAGCCAGGACTCAGTCCTAACAGGGTCTTACAGCCTGGCCTTGTTCAGAGTCAGTATTTTGATCGGGTTTTCAGTTTACTTTCTTAGCTCTTGGTCATCTCCTGTAGGGTAAAGTAATTTTCTACTGACTTCCTCAGTTAAGATTTAAAGAAAGAGAGAGGAGGACATACAACTGGGAAGTCTGGCTTATGAGATAGTTTTTGTTTTCCATTGGAGTTCCATGCTGGGGAATACTCCTCTTGTATCTGCACACCACCCTCCAGGTACTGGTTTCTTCTCTGAGAGCCTGACTCTCCCCTCATGACCAACATCAGGGAAATCCACTCCCGTCTGGATGGACTCTGGTCTTACCTATGGAGCTGGTTATTCCTCTATAGCCTCAAGAGGACAAATGATCTGAGGGATCATATAATAAAACCCGACAGGCACCCACAAAGGATGACTGAAATGGAAAACCACACAGTGGAAGGTCTTGAACTAAAACTAGAGCCAACATGTAGGAAAAGTATCCATGCCATAGCTGCTTGTTGACTGCATTAATGATCCCAATTCTTTACCCTTCCTTGATTCATGTCTTTTTAAAAATTTATTTACTTATTTAATTCCATTTGTTACTATTATTATTATTATTTAATTTGACCAGAGAGAGAGAGAAAGAGAGAAAGGGTAAGTGAGAAATTAAGCCACCAGGTCCGGGACCCAAACTTCAGTTGACCATGTGGGAGTCCAGTGCCTTAACCACCATGTCACCTGCCAGCCCCTGATTCATGTCCTTTGCATGTCCTCCATTAGTAGGCTGGGTATATTTCCCCAGCCCTTAATTGGATTCAACCATGTGACTGCCATGACGCAGACAATGCTTGTGGCCTGACTAGGCTTGCTATCTTGCACCGCTGGCACTGCCGTGAGAAAAACATGCTTACTGGTCCCAAAGGAGGATGGAAAACATGCAATGAGCCAGGATTCCCTAGCCAGGCCTAGCAGAGATCAGCCCATCCCCAGCCAACTCCTAGATGTGTAAACAAACTCGGACAAAATCAACAAAGCTACCCAGGTGGGTTCAGCCCTACCAGCAGATCTCAGCTGAACTGCACAGATCTGTAAAATGAATGATTGTTACTTCAAGCTATCCTGCTTTGCGATGCTTTGTTATGCAGCATTTTTATAGGCACAGTAACTAACAGTGAACTCAGAACCAATGCACAGTTCAGCATCCCACTGCTATTCTCTGATGGGAAGGAGGGAAATTCTGGAAACTGTAAGAACCATAGTTGAAAATGCAGGTTATTTTAGAAGTCTATGTTGCATTATAGGTTGTGTAGCCCTAATCCAAAATGCTTAAGGGTAAAAGAGTTTCAAATTTCAGATACGTTCAGATTTCAGAATGTTTACATGTAGGTAATGAGGTATCTTAGGGGCCAGCAGGTCTCCATGAACTAGACAGCGTATTACTGTGATTTTCTTTAATGTCTTTTACAAAGGCAAGTTGCCACTTGTTATTTTTGCATAAAAGTTTAAATTATTCAAGACCACCAGATGGCATAATGATTATGTCACTGGACTCCCACGTAGTCGACTGCAGTTCGAGACCCAGACTCAGCGGCTTAAAACTCACACTGGGCATGTGTGCGTTCGTGCCCAAAATTCCAAGAGGACTATGGAGGAAAAGGGATGGCAGTGTGGCCATCCCCTCTAGGGGGTGATTTCTCACTTACTATCTCTCTGTCTCTCTCTGTGTCTCTCCAGTGAACACAAGTGCCCTACAGCAAAAATCTCTCTTGAAAAGTATAACTTATTCACACACACACACACACACACACAGGTTTTTTTTTTTACCGTACCACTAATATTTTGTAAAGGTCACTGGCTTCAGCTTGGCTTAACTGACGCAAAGCATCTTCCACCAGGTGACTTCGTCTGACGTTTAGGGTAAATGTGGGTGGTGGAGGGCATGTTTCCATCCTCTGTAGAATCGTTTGCCCCAGATCGAAGTAGGCTTTCTCCTGTGATATCTAGAAAGAGAAATATTTTAGTCGGCTTCTCATTTTGACCTCAGAGGAATTCCAGGGCTTAACACTTCAAATACACATATTTTGTGTAGTGTACACTTAATCCTGCCTTGCTGTATATGCTCACGTAATTATTTAAGGAAAAGGACATATCTCCACTATGGAAGATAAAGAGATTATGGGTAAGAGAAACTACAGCACCTAGGAATTGGGTCTAGGGGACTGGTTACCATGAATAAACAGCTTAGTAATTAAAAGCTATCACAGCTCACTTTCTTTTTTTTTTTTTTTTAGAGTTTTTTTGCCTTGGTGCACATGTGCTCACCAGAGACAGAGAGAGACAGACCGACACAGTAAGAGGGAAAGTGAGAGATCACCCCCCAGGGGGATGACCACATCCCAATCTCCTCTCCTCCATTCTCCTCCCAGGATCTTGGGCACATATGCACACGGGCCGGGTGTGATTTTCAAGCCGCTGGGTCTGGGACTCAAACTGCACTTGGCCACGTGGGAGTCCTGCAACGTAATCGCTATGCCATCTGCTGGTCCCCACAGATTGCTTTTTATATTAGTAATCTTTAGAGGCAATACTGGTGTTCAATGTGCTGAGAAACATTCACTGACCATCAGTCTTTTCTTTCTTTCTTTCTTTCTTTTTCTAATTTTTGCCACGTAGTTTCAGGAGAGAGACAGAGAGGCAAAGTAAGAAATCACCCCCCCTCCAGGAGAGAAGGCTGCACCCTAATCCCTTCTCCGTTTTCCTCTCAGGACTGTGGGCACATACACACATGCACTCAGTATGCTTTTTTCAGCTGCCAAGTCCAGGACACAAACAGTGGAGTCGGTCGTATGGGATCCAGAACCTTAACCACCACACCACCTGCTGGCTCATCAGCCATCAGTCTTAAGTAGAATGTTTAGGATTTTAATTCTCAGAAATATAAGGACAGTCTAGGAGCTCACAGATATTAGTTGTACAAATAAGACCAGCAGGTGGCACAATGGTTACATCACTGGACTCCCATGTAATCAACCACAGTTCAAGTCCCAGACCCAGCGGCTTAAAACTCATGCTGGCTGTGCCCAAAATCCCAAGAGGAGAATGGAGGATAAGGTATTGGGGAGTGGCCATCCTCCCTTGGAGGGTAACTTTTCATTTTCTGTCTCTCTGTCTCTTTGGTGAGTGCATGCACCCTATAGCAAAAATCTCTCTTCAACAAAAAGCAATGATCCTAGTCCAGGCTTCAGGCTGGATGTTTGTCCACATTAGCTTTCTACAAGCCCTCCAGAGAAGCCAGATCTCAGCCACCATTATATTCCAAGACATCCACAACAGAAAGATTTTTCTGTTTTTTCCTTAAGATATTTTTTGGAGGGACAGCAGGTGGCATGGTTTAAGTGGCTAGATTCCACATGGCCAACTGTACAGCTCAGTCCCAAACCCCACCATTTAAAAACACACTGGGCGGGGGCCAGCAGATGACATGGGGGTTAAGGCACTGGACTTCCACATGGCCAACTGCAATTCAAGTCAAGCTGCCACCTGGCAGCTCGAAAATCATGCTGGGCACATGTGTGTGCATGCCCAAAACCTTGAGAGGAGAATAGAGGAGAAGGGATTACAATATGGCCAACATCCTTACGGGAAGATTTTTCACTTTCACCCTCGCTATTTCTCACTATCTCTCTGCCTCTCTGGTAAGCGCACATGCCCTAGCACCCTGTGGCAGAAAACCTTACAAATAAATAGAGTCAGCCCTGTGGCACAGCAGTTAAGTGCTGTGCATAGAAAGTGGATCCCACATGGCTGACTGTGGTTCAGTCCTAGCTAACTCTTTAGTGAGCACACATGCCTTCTGGCTAAATAAATAAATGAATGCATACATACATAAATAAAGAAAAAAACATCTTGTAGGACCAGCAGGTGACATGGAGATTAAGGCAGCTGGATCCCAAACAGCCAACTCTGTGGTTTGAGTCCCAGACCCAGTGGCTTGAAAATCATGCTGAATGTGTGTGCATATGGGCACACAAACACACGTGGCTGGCATGAATCCCAAGCCACCAGGTCTGTCCTTTAAAGTATTGGTAAAGGTCAGTAATGAGGAATGATTTCTATTTCCTCTGAGTTTTTAAAAGTATAAATATCATGGATAAATAGATACAAACCTTTCCTGAGGAAGGACCCAGAAAACAAGCCTCACCCATCAAAGAAATGCTTAGAAAACCTTTAGTATAATATCTCAGGAATAATTATTACATACACCTAAGAACTAAGGCCGATGACGATAAAATACTGAAGTGGCCCAGCGTGGCGGTGTAGTCAGTGGCGGGCTGGAACCTCAGTGCTGGGAATCGTGTAGCCAGCTGAGGTTTGGATCAGGCTGGAAACATGTGGGGTCCATGCACAGACACCCGGGATCCTGCCAAGTGGAGGGCTGGAGAGGGGGAATCACAGGATGACAAGACCCCGGTGGTGCCCCCCACCTTTGTCATTCACACACACTCTCATGAATACAATAATTAAGTTTTTTAAAAAGTCTATTCTAGGGGACCAGCAGATGGCATAATGGTTATGCTGCTGGACTCCCACGTAGTTGATCATGGTTCGAGTCCCAGACCTGGCAGATTGAAACTCACTCTGGGTGCATGTGCATGTGTGCCCAAAAGCCCAAGAGGAAAATGGAGAAGGGATTGCAGCATGCCCATCCACCCATGTTGGACACACACGCACACGCGCCCGGCGTGAGTTTAAGCCACCGGGTCCGGGACTCGAACCGCGGTCGACTACGTGGGAGTCCAGCGACATAGCCATTACGCTAACTGCTGGTCCCTCTGTCTGTCTTTCTGATGAGAGCACACACCCTATAGCAAAGATCTCTCTTAAAAAAACACATTAGTTTTTATTTTATTCACATTAGTTTAAAATAAATAAAACAGAGTAGAAGAGGAGAGGGAAAAGAAGTTGTGATTTGCTCTAAAATCCTTCAGCAACATCAGTAACAACTATCACAACAACAAACTGATAGATGAAGTGTGGCAAAATATTGATAATGGCTGAATCTTGGTTATTGGGTTCAATAGGCCAGTATCTCTATTTACATATGTTGGAAATTTTACATAAGAAAAAGGAGGGTATACATACCTGCATTTTTACCTGTGAATCAGCCTGCAGTAATTTAATTTTGGATAGCGTGTTAAAGATAAATGGAAAATCACTAAAAATAACAGGGCTGGGATCAGCTGCAGGTGCCTAAAAAATAAACAGAGACAATAATTTTGGCATTAAAAGAAAAGAAAAAAATGTCATTTCTTGGGACCAGCAGTTAGCATAATGGCTATGTCGCTGGACTCCCACATAGTCAACCGCGGTTCGCGTCCCGGACCCGGTGGCTTAAACTCACACCAGGTGCATGTGCATGCGTGCCCAAGATCCCTAGAGGAAAATGGAGGAGAAGGGATTGTGGTGTGGTCATCCCCTCAGGGGGTGATTTCTTGCTTTCTATCTCTCTGTCTCTCTCTGTCTTTCTGGCGAGCACACGCGCCCTATAGTGAAAACCTCTCCCAAAAAAAAAAAAGTCATTTCTCTAATTATCAGCTTAAATTATTACTCTGTATACTTTTTAAAATTAAATTATTTATTTGTTTTTATTTAATTTATTATTTTTAAATTTGCTATAGGGCACATGTGCTCACCAGAGAGAGACAGAGAAAGTGAGGAAGCAAGCCACCAGGTCCAGGACTCGAACCATGGCTAGCCATGTGGGAGTCCAGCACCTTCACCATCATGCCACCTTCTGGCCCCTACTCTGTATACTTTTTAGAATCTGTTTTTAAGAATCCAAATTACCCAGAAACAAATTTCCAGAAAATGCATTTGTCTAATGAATGAAAGATATTTTCTTCCTTTTTTTAATTAAAATTTTTTTTTTCTGAAACATAATAAGTTTTCAATGATCAACTAATTTAACAAACTAAGCATTGCAATAAAGGAATTTTCAAATCTTGGTTTATCAAAGAGACACCTACACAGCCACTACAGTAAGGTGACACCTTTTAAAGTATGACAATTTTCATAAGTTAAAATACTATTCTTACCAGGTTGTTATTCCGAACAAATAGTCTTCTTCTATCCATGTAAAAGTTCAAGAAGTTGGAGAGTTCATTTATGTTGAAAGCATTTTCCGGTAGTCGACGGGTAACAGTGTTTACCTTAAAGAGAATACGGCCTATGAATTTCACTTTCTATCAATAGATTTACTATGACACATAAGACCAGCAGGTGGCGTGGAGGTTAAATCACTGGATCCCATGGGGCCGCAGGTGGTGTGGTGGTTAAGGCACTAGACTCCTACATGGTCAATGGTAATTTGAGTCCCAGACCTGGTGGCTTGCTTTCTCCCATCAGACCTGGTGGCTTGCTTTCTCACTCCCCCCCCCATCAAATTACAAATAGTAATAACAAACAACATTAAATAAATAATTCTAAAAGAAGACTAATTATAATAACAAATGAAATTAAATAAATAAATAAATACTTCTTTTTTAAAAAAAAAGCACTGGATCCCATATGGCTGACTGCATAGTTTGAATCCTGGACCTAGCAGCTTGAAAATCACACCAGTCATGTGTGCATGCATGCCCAAAATCCCAAGAGGAGACTGGAAGAGAAGGGAGTGTGGCATGGCTATCCTCCTGGGGTTTATTTCTCACTTCCCATTCTCTCTCTGGCAAGCACACTCACCCTATAGCAAAAACTTAAAAAACAATAAATATATATATTTATTTACATAGATAATCAAAATAGAGTTCTATAAAGCAAAAACACTTGCCAACAATAAAACTAAGTTCTCAGGCCAGCCTTGTAGCCTACTGGTTCAGGGAATCAGATCTCACATCACTCACCACAGTTTGGATCCCAGCCCCAGAGACTTGTAAACAGGCACATATGCGTGCAGGGTGGAGAAATGGAAAAGATAGGATTTTGATATGCCCATGTCCCACTGGAAGGTACTTTGTCTTTCTCTCTGTCTGCCTGTTTCTATATCTTTCCCCCACATCCTTGGTCAATTAAAAAAGAAAGAAAGAAAAAAGAAAGAGTTCTATAAAATTTCTACTTTCTGACCTATAATTTCTTCACCATTTTTTTTTTTTTAGGTTTTTCCCCTTCACCATTTTTTTTTTTTTTAGGTTTTTCCCATAGGGGCATGTGTGCTTGCTGGAGAGACAGAGAGAGAGAGGGGAAGGGAAAGTGAGAAATCACCCCCAACGGGGATGGCCACACTACAATCCCTTCTCCTTCATTCTCTTCCTGGGACTTGGGGCATACATGCACCTGGCATGAGTTTCAAGCCACCAGATCTGGGATCTGACTGCAGTCGGCCATGGGGGAAGCCCAGTACTGCAGGGGGTGACCAAATCTGGGCATAAAAAGCTGTAAAGTAGTTAGGGACATACAGAGAGCAAGCAAAAGCTCCCTATGAAGCTATAGTCTGCTGCCACACTACGGATTGAAGAAAGCCGAATGTCAGCTAGAGCAAGCCGGGAGAAGCCTGTTTACAGCGACGAGATGCAAGATGTGGAACCAGCATATGGTGGAATGGTCACACTGCTGGACTCCCACATAGTCAACCACGGTTTGAGTCCTGGACCTGGCAGCTTAAAAAACTCATGCCAGGCACACATGTGTATGTGCCCAAAATCCTGAGAGGAGCATGGAGGAGAAGGGATAGTGATGTGGCCATCCTCCCTGGGAGGAGACTTCTCACTTTCTGTCTCTCTGGCAAGCGCATGCGCCCTATAGCAAAAATCTCTCTCTAAAAAAATAAAAATAAAACCACAAGACAAGATGCTCTACAGCTGCAGGCAATGATAGAAAACCCCCACTTTACTTTCCCTATAAGAGGGTGCGCACACCGTCCCCATAGAAGAATGAGCACGTAATGGCCTGGGGCCATGGCGTTCTCCAAGCAGAGACAACGAAACCACCGATCCAGCTTTTCTCCGTCCATCCTTTCTCAAGTCCCTTGACCCACTTCGACCCACTTCCACTTGGGCTTCCACGTCTTTTTGCCACCAGGCTCTGGTATAATACCTTAACCACAATGATACCTACTGGCCCCAATTTCTTCAATTTTCATAAAGAAATACTGCTTGGGCCAGCTGGTGGCATGGTGGTTAAGGTGGCTAGATCCCATATAACCTACTGCACAGTTCATGTCCCAGATCAGGTGGCATGAAAACCATGCCAGGCACATGTATGTGTATGTGTGCCCAAAGTCCCAAGAGGAGAACGGAGGCGAAGGGACTGCTGGCAGGCCATCCCCCAGGGGGTGCTTCTCACTTTCCCTCTCTCTTTTTTTGTCTTTTTCTGGCAAATTAAAAAAAAGAAAGGAAAAAAAAAAAGACATGGAACATTTCCAGCAGCCCTCAAGGGACTCTACATACTCTTTCCAAAGTCAATCACCTGCTCTGCCAAGAGGTGACATCCTCTGATTTCTATTACTGTAGATTAGCTTTGTCTGTTTTTGAAATTCGTATAAAGGAAATCGTAAGAGTAACTTTTTGAGTAGATCGTCTCCTCATCACCACGTGGATGAGATTCACCCATGTGTTGCATATAGCTGTAACTGCAGTGCACTTTTTCAAATGAAAATATCTATTACAAAACATCTTTTTGTTTTGATTTGTTTTTGTAATCCCCAGAGGGTGCGTGCACTTACCATGAAGAGAGAGAAAAAGAGAAAGCAACCCCACGGGGCATGTCTACACCACAATCCCTTCTCCTCCTCCATTTCTTTCCTTTTGGGATTTGGGCACACAGGCGCACATTCTCAGCATGTTTTTCAAGCTGCCAGGGCTGGGATCAAACCACAGTGGCCAGGGAACCGGCAGATGGTGTAATGACTACGTCACTGGACTCCCATGTACTTGACCATGGTTCGAGTCTAGGATCTGGTGGCTTAAACACGCCGGGCGCATGTGCGTGTCCCCAAGATCTTGAGAGGAAAATGGAGAAGAAGGGATTGCGGCATGGCCATCCCCCCGGGGGGTGATTTCTCGCTTTCTGTCTCTCCGTCTCTGTCTGTCTTTCTGGAAAGCCCAGCCGCACTATAGCAAAAATAAACTCTCCAAACTACAGTGGCCATGGGAGATCCATCTCCCTTAACCACTGCACTATGGGGCTGGCCTTTACAAAGCATATCACATCCTCATAAAGCTTCTCACTTTCTAAACTCCCAATTATTTAATGCCAAATATTTCCCTTTCATATAATACTTTTAAAAAATATTTGACTACTTGGGATTCCTGTTTGATTTCATAAGCCTCCAGGTGGCTGGGAGCTAAGGGATTTGTTTAATAAAATGGTAAATGCATATTTCAATCACGAAGCTCTTACCTTATGTACTTTTTTCATCACTCCTAGAAGAGCTTTAACATTACAGTGACTTTCCTCAGTTTCAGTCCAATAAAGCATCTGAAAGGCAATGGCTGCTTTAAGCATCTGGACCAGTGTGTTCAGAGAAGATTCTTGCAAAGATTCCCAACACTTTTCTGAGGAGTAAAAAAAATCAGACAGGATAAATATGGTCCTCCCCTCACCCCGTAAAACCTCTCAGTTTCTACTGGGTCTTTGAATATAAGAAACAGACGATATTTTCCACTCCTGATGACATAATCTATAATAAAATCTTTCCTGAGAATAGCATCCTGGGGCCAGCAGGTGGCATGGTGGTTAAGGTGCTGGATCCTACATGACCAACTCTGAGGTTCAAGTCTCGGACCTGGCAGCTTGAAAAACGTGCCAGGTACACGTGCATGTATGCCCAAAATCCCAAGGGGAGAATGAAGGAGAAGGGACTGAGGTGTGGCCATGCCCCTGGGGGGCGATTTCTCACTTCCCCCTCTGTCTTATCCCAGCAAGTGCACACACCATATGACAAAAAAATCTATTAAAAAAAATATCATCCTGGACAATACTTACGACTCACACTTGAGAGAAAAAGTTTCCCCCTGATTGAGTATCTTTAGAATTAAAAGCTCAAATTCAAGATTTGAAATTTGTTGATGATTCACATTTATACTGACTTCATCAGTTTAAAATTGATAGTTTTATAGGGTATCTATCAAGTCAGGAAATGCGGGTGAATATACACACATACACATGTCATCAGGCATATTTAATTTATAAGTAATAAAACGATATTATTCATCTTTTCAGATTTCACATATACCTGGTACATATGAATATATTTTTCTTAAATAGCCAATAATTGCATTTTTCATATTTTAAAAAATGTTTGCCAGAGTGCACATGTGCTTGCCAGGAAGAGATGAGTGGGAGCAATAAGAAAGCACCTCCTCATGGGGTATGGTCACTCCACAATCCCTCTTCCTCCATTTCTCCCTCATTTTGGGATTTGGGGCATGAACCCCCCCCCACAGTACACATTTCCCACTGGGTCCAGGGCTCGAACTACGTAGTCAGCTGTGTGAGATTCAACTGCCTTACCCATCACATCACCAGCTGACCCACCTATAACTGTATTTTACTATTATGGAGTATTTTATAATTATTTTTTGGTACCTTTATAAGAGAATTCTCAGAAAGCAAACCCATCAGATGTTAAAATACAAGTTAATGTAATTAAATTAGTATTGCCCATGGGATCAGCAGATGGAGTAATGATTATGTTGATGGACTTCCACATAGTCAACCGCAGTTTGAGTCCTGGACCCAGAAACTTAACACTCACACCAGCATACCCAAGATCCTGAAACAAGAATGAAGGAGAAGGATGGCAGCATGGCCGTCCCCACTGGGAGGTGGGGGGTGGTGACTTCTTGCTTTCTGTCTCTCTGGCAAGTGCACATACCCTATACCAAAAAAAACTCTCTCTAAAAAAATAAAAATACTATTGCACAGATGTATGAAAAGCAGATCAATATAGCAGAGTAGAGTCCATAAATGAACCCAGACATATGTAAGACTTTGGCATATTACAATTGTGACACTGTATACAAGTGTGGGTGAACATAGCATCCAATAAATGTGTGGGGACAACTGGAAAGTGATTTTTTTTAAAGGTTTTTGCTATAGGGCGGGTGCACTCACCAGACAGACAGAGAGAGACAGAGAGACAGAAAGCAAGAAATCACCCCCCCGGGGGATGGCCAGGCCACAATCCCTTCTTCTCCATTCTCCTCTCGGGATCTTGGGCATGCACACGCATGTGCCTGGTGTGAGTTTTAAGCCACCGGGTCCAAGACTTGAACCATGGTCGACTACACGGGAGTCCAGCGACATAGCCATTACACTAACTGCTGGTCCCAACTGTTGTTGTTTTAAAGAATTATTTCTTTAATTTTATTTATTATTATTACATTTTTTAATTTGCTATAGGGCACATGTGCTCACCAGAAAGAGAAATAAAGAGAAAGAGAGAAAGTGAGAAAGCAAGCCACCAGGTCCTGACTCAAACCATGGTTGTGTATGTGGAAATCCACACCTTAGCCACCACACCACCCACTGGCCCCAAGAATGATATACTGTTAAGTGGAAAAATGCCAAGTTGCAGAAGAATGTGAAGGATATATTCTACCATTAAAGAAAAGAAAGGAGCCAGCAGGTGGTGTGGTGATTAACACGCTGGACTCCCACATGGCTGACCATGGTTTGAGTCCCAGACCTCGTGACTTACTCTCACTTTCTTTCTTGCTCTGGTGAGCACACATATCCTATAGCAAATTTAATAATAATAATAATGGTAATGAATAAAATTTAATAGTCCTTTTCAAAAAAAATAAAGGAAAGAAAAGAGAAGAAAGAAAGGAAGGGGAGGAGGGAGAGAGAGAAGAAGGAAATATTTGTGTGTATACTCACTGGAAAGACAGAGAGACAGAAAGTGAGAAATCACCCCCAGGGGGATGGCCACGCCGCAATCCCTTCTGCTCCATTCTCCTCTCAGGAGTCTGGGCACACACACACATGCACCCCGCGTGAGTTTCAAGCCACCAGGTCCGGCACTCAAGCCTCAGTCAACCATAGGGGAGTCCAACACCTTAACAACTACACCACCTGCTGGCCCTATATATGTTTTTATATATATAGAATACCTTTGAAAAGTTTCCTAAGAAACCAAAATCTATTGAGTCATTGGAAAAGTCATGACACATTTTTGCATAGAAAAACATTTTTTAAAAAGTCATGACTTTTTTAGACTTCTATTTCAGGCAGTGACTCTAACAAGAGTAGAGATAAAAGAACTTGAAACTTACTCAGGACTCGTAAAGATTGGTCACTCATTTTACAAATGGCCTCCGCAAACGGAACCACCAGCTTCTTCCAGTTCTTGCAGTCACTCATCACAGGACATTCTGGGAGCAGAAGGAAAACGGATAGTGCTTCCTGGTGTGGAGAACGGCATGGAAGGGCTTTGAGCAGACCATCCTCAAGACTCTCAGTTATCTGTGGTCAGAGTAAGATCAGGAAAATATGAGACGCAGTGAGGAGTAAGCTGGGGGCCAGAGATCGCATTCCGCCGTGCTCCGACTGGAATTCCGTCTGAAGCCTCCTGAAGAAGTTTCCTCGCTCCTGACATTCCAAATGCCCTGAGTTAGCAGGGGACGGGGAGACTGCCATCCTCCTCAGCCCATGTCAGGGTGCGTGAAGTGAAATCGCAAACGCCTGGGTGTACTAAGTAAATCATGGATTCACAGCCAGCATGTATACAGATGGCCCTAGTATCTGTCCCTCTAGAAGGAGCTATCACCCACCCCCCTCTTACACACACACACACCAATCTGTTTCTTTTTTTTTCCCTCCTGTCACAGTAGAAAATATTTAGAGAAAAAATAACTCTGAACTTTTATATTATTTATTTCCTCCAGAGGTAAACTTTTAAAAATAGAACACATATAAAAACAGATTCGTGGAAATCATTTGTATCTTTTTTTTTTTTTTTTTCGTTTTCCCTAATTTCCAGAGGGGCACATGTGTTCACCAGAGAAACAAGACAGAAAAGGAGAGGAAGAGAGCATTCGCCAATGGGGCATGGTCCCATGGTCACACCACAATCCCTCCTCCACCCTGTGCACACACAAACACACAGTGATTTTTTTCAAGCTGCTAGGACCAGAATTAGAACCATGGTCGGCCTGTGGGAGCTGACTCCCGTAACCACTAGGCCACAGAGCTGGGGCCATGTATTGTATCTTTATTTTTGGCTAAGCATTCATTGAGTACATCTCATGTAAATCTTTCTATTTAATCTTTTTTTATTTTTAAGTTTTTGCTATAGGGCATGTACACTTGTCAGAGAAAGAGAGAGAACGAGAAAGTGAGAAATCATCCCGGCATGTACACTTGTCAGAGAAAGAGAGAGAACTGAGAAAGTCATCCCGCAGGGGGGATGACCACGCCACAATCCCTTCTCCTCCAGTCTCCTCTTGGGATCTTGGGCACGCGTGCATGGGCACCCAGCGTGATTTCCAGGGCTATACAACTGCACAGTCAGCCATGTGGGATCCAGTGCCACCTGCCAGCCCCACTTTCTTTAATTTTATTAATAATCATGGAAGGGTAGTTCTTGCTTTGTTTTTTTAGCTTGTTTTTACAGATGAAGAAGGAAAGCCTCAAGAGAAACTTAGAGGAGGGAAGTATCTAATTAGAAAGTGACTGATCAGGGGGACCAGCAGTCAGCATAATGGCTATGTCGCTAGACTCCTACGTAGTCGACCACGGTTCGCGTTCCAGACCTGGTGGCTTAAAACTCATGCTGGGCGCATGTGCGTGTGTGCCCAAGATCCTGAGAGGAGAATGGAAGAGAAGGGATTGCAGCGTGGCCATCCCCGCAGGGGGGTGATTTCTCGCTTTCTGTCTCTCTATCTGGTGAGTGGATGCACCCCGTGGCAAAAACCCCTCCAAAAAAAAAAAA